GAGCAAGACGGTGGAGAGACGATTGAAACGCGCTAAGTCGTCCCGAAGGGACAACACCGGGCGAACAAAGTTCCCTTCTTTAGAGTTCGTTCGCAGGGTTGATCGGTGAGATCGCGCCTTTTTCCATTGCGGGAAATAATAAGCAAGAAATTCTCGGGCGGGCGAGCCGTGTTCGTATTTGGAGGAGACTCGTCGTTAATATCGTCAAAGAGCCCCGGTCGCTCGGCTCGGAGGCTCTTCAGTGGGCCAGGGCTTTGCGAAAATCGCCGGTCCAGGTTTGGCCTTCGCGGCCACGCCAAGAAAGAAGGGACAGGACCGGCGACGAAGGCGAGCGAGATGAAGATAGGGTGGGAGGGAGAGACGCGCGACGGGGAAAGAGGGCGAAAAAAGCCGGGACCGGGGGCAGTAGGGGAGGAGGGCAGGCGCGAGAGAAATGCGTGGGAATTGAACCATGTGGTCGGTCGACTGGTCCGCGAAATATCGCGTTGCGAAAGCGCGCACGTACACACACACACACACACACACACACACACACACACACACACACACACACACACACACACGCATGCACGTACACACATATACGTATACACGCACACGTACAAGCGCGCGTATAATACGCAAGTGAAATACGAAAGCACCGACGACTCCGCGGATCATACTACACACGGACGCGCGAGCGAGACCGCGATGTATACAAGTATTTTATACATATATATATATATATAAAATATATATATATATAAAATATATATATATACACATACTATCTTTCGAGGTCACGGGGAATTTCAAAGAAAGAACCGTGCGGGATAATTAGACCCCCTTTCATGGAGCAACGCCGTTGGGCAGTAACGAGCTCCGGAGCTGTCGGCTAAAGGCCGTCTCGAACAAAGCTCGGAGATCTAACGGAGCTGTTGTACCTCGGGCTCTATCGAAATAATGCTCAAGTCGCGAAAGAATGAAACTGATATATGTGCCGGAACGGAAATCCTTTCACGCGCGATAGAAAACCAGCGTATCCCAATACGCGATCGGCGTGTGCGTGCGCGCGCGCGCATGTTCCCGGACTTTTATCTGAAAAATGTGCGGCGATAGCGTCGCGTCGGCGTGGAGCATACCGAGAGATCGACGTTATCTCTTCCAGATCTCAAGCGTTTACCCAAAGCCTTTGGATACTGCGGGAAAAGAGGTCGCGAACGGACCGCGAGACAGCCCAGCCGAACGGCCGCCCGGCGCGGCATGGCGCGGCGGAGAGGACGAACGCGACGCGTACGTGAGACACACGTGGCCGCGACTACGCAATGCAGCGAGTCGCGGCGGCTCGTGATCGGCGAGATCAGCTGTTGGTTCACACCGCCAATTACGAGTCACGCGACTCTCGAGGTTCTTGTCCCGACTGACACACATGCGCATTGTGTGCCTACCTTTAATCGTCTCACGAGGCACCGCCGCTGCCGCCGCTGTTTGGCGCGTTTGGTGCCTTGTCCCGTCCCCGCGGCCCGCACCGGTGCAGTCCACATTCCCTGCTAAATACTCGATTAACTCTTGACCCCCGCGTAATCGCGTTGTCCGAACGACGTTGCGCAACTTTTAGTCAGTTGCTATTTTCGCACGCGCCGGCGGTACTTTATTAGCGTGCCTCATTTTCGCGTCTACGCCGCTTTCTCGATATCCTCGGCCCCGAGACAGTCCTGGACACGGCAGCCGATACGGATACCGACGGATATTTCTGCGAGCGGTCTTCGTATTGCCGCTCTGGGACTGAAGCAAAGTCCGTTTCGAACTCGTGGCGGACGATAGGAATGCGCCGTTCGTTGACGCCCCGACTGAGAACTCCGTCTGCAGCAATCGTGAGATATCTGTCTTCTCTGGGCGAGAAGGAACGGAGAAAGAGAGAGAGAGAGAGAGAGAAAGAGAGCGAGAGGGAGAGCGAGAGAGAGAGAGAGCGATAAGAGTGAATGAGAAATGCGCAAAAACCGATCGGTCGGTTTAACGTTATCGTCCGGCCTACAAATGCCCGGCGGCTACATTTCACGCCGGAGGTGAGATATGAATGCGGATCGAAACCGAACACGACCATCGCGGCTGCTCGTATCAGCTGATACGCGCCCCGATGACGTCAACGCGTCTCGACGGCATAAAAATTATACGGTCGCTGTCGCGCACGGCACACGAGGCTAACGATTAAAGTCCCCGGCCCGGTGACTAGGCGAACCGGCCGAGCAGCCGAGTCGATTGTGCGGATTTAGTTTAACCGTGGCGTGGGATCGGGCGCGGACTTTCACATGCTAAAATTAGTTTGTCGGGCCGCCGAAGCGCGGCGATTCATAAGAGCAGCTAGCCGCCGACGTTGCGTAACGCCGTGTTCGCCGTGAGTCCCGATTGAATTTTATCGACGGAGATCAGCTGAGGAGGAGGGGCGCGAGGGAACGAAACGTCGTTTCCGGTGTTTGACGAATCAGCTGGATCGCACGCGTGTGTTCACCAAACCAAACGTTCAACCCTCCGCGATCGCGGCGGCGGCGGCACCGAAGTCACACCAACGAGAACTCGCTCGCTCCACGAGAAGCGCGGCACACTTTCGTGTCGGACATGATAAACAGTTTCTAGATACCCACCAACGTTCCTCATTTGGCGGGCGTAAAGAGAATTTGTCATTTCTCGATGATGAGTATACACGTGCACAAAGTTGAGCGAGAAACAGAATACGGTCCACTTATGTCGCTTTAAAAGAACGTCGCTGCATGCTCGCGGGGTATCGCTTGACTCGAGAAGTCTTACAAGTTCGTGTACAAGAGGCACAGTCGGTATTCTCTAACACGTTCGCTAATACAAATCGGAGAGGAGAAAACGCTCACTCTCCGGGAGAAGATAAAAATTATATGCAACAAAAAAAGAAAAAAAGAACACCTTGCAAGGCAAAAAGTCATGCGGTCTTACGTTTAACAGTTGCATCGTTTCTTTCTTCGTTCTGATCGCTCGAATATCATTATGTTGCGAAGCTATTGCGCAGGAGTAAACGACTCTATTCGATCGTATCGTCCGTAAACCAAGTTACGAGATCGTCCAAGGGATGTATTATCAGCGCAGCCCTCCCGATACGGCATGTTAACCCTAACGGTCCAGACTCCGCTCGGACTTTGGACGAAGTCGAGCGAAATTCGCATACTCGCGCAACGTCCCAACGATTCGAGATTGTCACATATCGATTGAGCGCGTCGCAGGAGTTCGCAAAGTTTGACGTTCGAAAGGAAGCAAGTTCGTGGTCGCAAGGTGGTACAATAAGTAACAAGGACGTGAGCCACTCTTGCAATTGCAACGGCACGTCTGTTCTCGCTCTGTGCAAGAGTGCGGCATAAGATTGATTTCGTGTACGCACGCCACGTCTCGCACACGCATACGCACTGAGAAAAAGATTTCTGTTCTGTCGCAACGAATGAACGTTCGTTGTTCGATAATTGTACGGGGAATAAGTCAAACAGTTGCCGCAACAAATCGTTCTTCGTTATTTGTAATTTTAACAAATACACATTGCTAAAGATGTGATACATTTGCTCCCATTATAAAACTGTTGGTTAGAACAACAAATCATTTGTTACCACAACGGAGTTGTCATTTGCTGTCTCACGTTAACAAATTATTTGTCGCGGTTACTGATGCTTTCTTAACCGAAGGAAACCTTTTTTCTCAGTGTGGACGACATGAGAATCTCACGATAATTTGGATGCAGATGCTCTCGCGATAATGATGACAGGAATGATAGCAGAGAAAATAGAGAGAGAGAGAGAGAGAGAGAGAGAGAGAGAGAGAGAGAGAGAGAGAGAGAGAGATAGAAGAAAAGAATATTCTGCGACTGATATATGATGAGACACATCGCTCGTACAATATATAAGCAATCGTGCAGTTGAAACTCGAATTAATCGTCATGCAATATTCACCGACTAAGACTATCCGCGGGAGGAATTTTGCGCGCGAGATTGAGTTCGCGTTTGGGATGAGCTTCGCGAAAGAGTGAGCTTCAATGAGACGAAAGATCAAGATGCATGAATGACTTGGTTTCGAGAAAAAAAATGTCACATTCACACGAGGAGTATAATTACGGAAATTTTATGTTTCGCGCGTTAGAGAGACCGGAATGTCCGTTCTCGAGTTTGAGAGACATGCAAATATATAATGATTGTGCATTCCTGCTAATGTATCCATGGAAAGATGAGTGAGTACGAAGCGATGAATGGATACGATCGTCATTACTTAAAGCTCCATCGACTCTTCCTCCAGCACAGGTAAGACTTATTGGAGGAAGCGGTTGTTCGGTTCTTACAATGATTCATATCGAATGAGCAAGCGACTCAAGCGAGGTATATGGCGATGACGATGACACTTTTCGCACGGATACAATTCTCATTTTCAACCCGGACGGGTTGGTCACAACTCTTGCGATACGACGCCAAGTATGCCTTCGCACATTCTCGTAACGGCACACTCGGCTTCATGTACGAGAAGCTGATGCACCAGAGGTACAATGTACAGAAAACGTAATTCTCAAGCCTGGACCAGAGTCGTGGTGTCTGTTTCTCTCTCTCTCTCTCTCTCTCTCTCTCTCTCTCTCTCTCTCTCTCTCTCTCTCTCTCTCTCTCTCTGTATGTGTGTGCATGTATACATGTATGTGTGCGTGTAACTCGACGGTACTCTCTCGTGTATTTCTTTCTCGAAATTTATTACGACGTTCTCGAGTTTATCAGAATTATCTCGGGTTGAAAAACAATCGTTTATCGTACGTTCAAGGATGAGCTGAAAGCTTCATGCGTCGCGCTCATTATTATGTACATATCGATAGGTTCGATTGACAGTATCCTCCCGCTTCAAAGTTGAACATCTCTAGTATTCTTATCGTGGCTCCAACAGGCAATAACTTCACGATACGAAATTTCACGCTCGAGATTCGCACGACTCCGGTCGCCCGCTGGGCTAACGTGAAGGAATCAAACAATACAGACCTTAGACAGCTTCTCGCCCTCATGATGCGGCAGCAGCGACCTCAGAGACTGGAATCCGGCGTTGATGCTCTGCATACGACGTCGCTCGTTGCTGTTGGCGATTTCTCGCCGCATTCGCTTCTCCTGCTCCATGTGGCTGCGCGGCGTGAGACGGCCGATGTTGTTGTTGATACCGTTTCCGTTGCTCAGCGCAACGTTCTGACTAGCAACCCGCCGACTGGCACCGACGCTACTCTTGGATTGCTGTTGTTGCTGTTGCTGCTGCGGTTGCTCCGGTGTGTCTATGACCGCGGCGACCGTCACACTGGTGGTCACCGAGCCGTCTTCAACCGTCTCAACGCTCCTGTAACATACAAAAATGCAACGAATGAATAATGATATTTTTGTGCAAGATATTCCGCAACTTGTCCGTCACCAAGTGGAAAAAATTGTGCAAGAGAGAAATTTCGTTGGTGACAACAGAGAATGTGACGATACGACGTTTAATAAAAACGTGACTCCATTCTTCGCTCAAAGAGCGGCAGAAATCATTTCACATGAAATCGGTCGCAGCTTATCAGCGGTCTTGTCGTATGCACACGATTCTGCCTAATCTGACGCACGAGTCTTTAGCTTCTTCGAAGCCTCGTTCCTCGAGTTGTGTCGCAATACATATATTTAAATGTCGACTTATCAATTATACCTCACTTGCGGTCAGCTGCATTATCGTTATTAAAAAAAAAGGAAGAGACAGACAGATAAGGAGAGAGGGCGAGAGAGAAAAAAAAGACGTGTCGATGCAGACACTCCCCCGTGGAGTGATAAGCGGCCGCAGGCGAAGTATTTCGGGACGACTATCAAAGAGATACGTCCGAAATCAAAACGACGCGGACGAGAGACGAGAGACGACACCGACGCACACGCGCGCGCGCGCCGTTTGACACGCATGAAGTCGGCCCGTCTCGCCGCATTTTCCACCGCGGTCTCTCCGTGCATCGCGAGGGGGCTTTTAAGGAAATTGAAAGCGAGGTGCCGTAGCTCTTTCTTCCCTTCTCCCTTTTTTCTTCTCTATTCTGTTTTTATTTCGCCGAACGCTACGGTCGACGACGGGAACTTGCGGACGGTTGAATTCGCGATCAATGAAGCGAGACACGTCGTTGACGCTCCGCGGCGGTTGCATCAAACGCCTGGCTCGCGCGCGCTTCCGATCGCCCGCACACACACGTGGCGAACATCTTCGTTCCGCCTCGCGGTACACACATATATATATATATATATATATATATATGGTTTGCTGGTGCAATATCCTGCATTTAAATATCATTCATTTTTGGCCCATGATCAAAGATGGCCCATGGCAGATTTGCTCTTTCGCTCCTTACAAACGTAATCGTCGATGTTGATCCGCGTAACTCGGAAAATTTTCCAGAGACATTAGTCGATCGCTGAATCATCAGCGTCCATTAATTTCGGAATATCGACAAAACGAGCGAGATGCGCACGAAGGACGCGCGTCATTGGGATTTTCGAAATCAGTCATACGTACCACGCGAGCGATCTGGAAAATTCCGTCGCGCGTTTCAGCCAGATTTCATTCCTATCGTGTACCTACCCGAGTAAAAAATTGTTAGAATCATCCTGATAAGTCATAAGGCTCCGATAAAGCTGAAAGTATTGGATGCCCTAAAAAGGGATGCCTCATTTTCACCACATTAAACTCCGAGATGGATCTTTTATGGATACCTTAGATTTTACGAAATAAAGAAAACTGATGAGGGCTTTAGAAGAATTTATTAGGAATACCTTATATTTTATGAAGTAACGCTTTAACATGGAAAACTGATGTGCCGTATAAGGATCTTTTAAGGATGCTTTAGATATGCAAAATTAAGTTTTGTTATAGAAAATTAATAAGATCGGAAGCGTGTAATAAAATTGTCACAGTTTAATATTGTTTTAATAGGTACGCTCTCTCTATCTGGTTCTTTTAAAGATTTTTTAATTATACCGCAATTAAAAAACAAATTTTATTAGTTTTATCAGTTGCCATATTCATTAGTCTCTTCCAAGGATTGTTCTAGTATTGCTTTCGTTTTGAAATGCAGCAAATTTTAATAAAAACAGAAGCAAGATTTTTATGTATAAAGAATGCTATATTTTATTGTAAAGTATGCTATATTTTTAAAATAAAAATTCTTGTGTACAAGCAAGATTATAAAAAATAAAGAAATTACAGTCTAAATTTCTTGGAATGAAAAGAATGAATACTTTTATTCAAGCAATAATATATATTTCTTCATAAGGCCATATTAATATTGCCTTATAAGGCAATATTAATATGTTAATATTGCTTTTGTAAGAACCCATTTAAACCATTGGTTACACTTTTTGTAGGGCCCTTGTCTTTTTATCCCTACTAGAGTCCGATTAACGTTAAGAAAAAACAATCAGGCCCTTACCAGAGCCCTGTTAATTTTTTTACTCGGATAATTCCGCGACGCACTGAATTCGCGTCGACGCGATATAACGCGTCTACGTAAGGTCGTCACGCGACTAGTATCGGCATTAGAGTGCATGCGCGCTATCGGAACATCGTGCAAAGGTTTCATCATCCTATGCGGATCAGCTGTCTACACGCTACAACGTGATGCGCACGTAAACTTTGGTCGGAGCGTGAGCATAAAATATTTGTTAACCGTAAACGCGTGCGGACGTTTCATTCATCTTTACTGCGCGCGTGAGATAATTACGGCCCAAGATAAGAGCAGCCGGGCTTTGTAACGCGTGTGCGTGGGCACGATCTTAAATTTCACGATACGAAACATCGTTGGTTCTGTGAGCACACGTAAAATATTATACGACCGATCTCATCGGCTTCCGTCCTATCGGATAATGTTCGTTGAATCTGTCCTCTGCAAATGGAAATTCTCTTCGGCGTGTCATCGAGTCGTTTTGCTAAATGCCGGCGATTCGTTAAATCATTCAGATTTAATATCCGCGTCGGGAGCAAATCCGCACACGCGCGGAAGCTCGGACAAAGAATTAGATATTGTATCGAGAAACAGCGTCGCAAATGTGACAGCCCGCTGCTCGATTATACCAGAAATTATACTCGCATTAAAATTGACGCGACATTTCGTCCTTTTCATTCATCAAAGATACATCAGCGTCATTAGTTGCGTTTGATCACGCGCCGCGGTTTGCTCTAACCAACTTATAAATGAGTTAGCGAAGTACTTAATAATGCACTGCTCGTTCCGCGGAATCGTAGAGTGCAGTTGCAAGTAAAGTCGGTAAAAGGGGAAACAGCTGGAAAATTATACGGTAACGAGCGCGGCGCGGCTAAGGAAAGCAACGAGAGAAAGAGAGCCGTGAGGAGACGACAGCAGATCGAAATGGCGGATATACCGCCGTGGATGACTCAGCAGGGAAGACCGTGACCTTGCTCTTTGCTCCGAAACAGTCGTTCGGTACATGTCTATATCGCGGAGCGAATGCGAAGGCTCTCTTGTGTAAAATGATCGTGGAATCATCTTTGGCTACGCCACGGTATCCTAGTGTAAGCTTTCGCTCAGGGTAATCACATTGTACACACTTGTGTACGTACCAAATGACCAAATTTAAAAAAATAATCGTCGTACCAGCTCGAGACTGAACGAGCTTAAATCGCATCTTCCGCTTTGCCCGCGTATTATCTGTTGAAATCGTAACAGAGGTAACAGTTAATACGGAAAATGCATAAAAGCGTAAAACACACAAAGAATTACGGAATACCGATAAGCATGCAGATGGACGGCTTATTGCCTTACGACTGAAACATCGGCGGCGAAAAGAGCGCAAAGTTACAAGGACGAAAAAAAAAAAAAAAAAATAAAAAGAAAAAAAAGCAGGAGCGAGCGGTTATTAAATCTCTCGGAAACGACCGCCTTGTCCCGACCGTCGGCAATTTTCTTCGACGGAAATATTAACGGTTACTCATTCGTAGGTGTCACTCAAGCACCGCGTAACCGCGAGCGAGCGCGCAAAGGCATAATCGTACATCATGCGCGATGCGACAACCTCGGCCACGGCCGTCAATCAAGCGTTTTACAACAGCCGAAGCACGGTGGTGTACATCGTTCTCCGCGATTTCTCGTTCGCATTAGCTCCGTCGCCGTGTCCTCGAGAGCGACCGATCTCTTTCGCAATGTCGCCACGAGCGCGTCTCGGTCGTCGATTCATGAATCGGGGCGAGCGGAGCGCCGATGACGTGTCTTCGGGTGTCTCGTGACCGATGAGATCACTCATTTACAAGTTTCGCACGAATTCGGCGAGGTTCGGCCTCTCGTCGTCGTCGTCGTCGTCGCCGTCGCTGTCGCGAACGTGTTACAATCGCCGTCGTTCCCGACACGTTATCGTCAACGCTATTTTCGCATCGCCGCGAGCGGATGGCGGCGGCAGACGTGATGGTGGTGTCGAACGATCCGCCGCGAGGATTTGAATCGAGAGTCGCGCGGCATTCATCGACGATCATTCATAACGGCACGTGGTCCACGGAACCAGAAATCCACGTGGCGTACTCTCATCGAGTGGTTATATTAGATCAGCTGGTACGCGCCGGCGGCTTGCTGGCTGGCTGGATGGTTGGCTGTCGTGACGTCAGCTCGTTCGTTCGCCGGATACCCGCAGAGCTCGGCCAGATCAGTTGCGGCGAAGTAGGTCGGCGAGGTGGACGGCTACCTTCCTTTTCACCCTGAAATCCCGCCACCGTACGACGGAGAATGCGCTCGCGCTCGCTCGCACGCGCGTTAACGATAACCCTGTCGCCTGTTCCTCCTATCTCTGCTCGCTTATCTGCTCGTGTATCTCGCGCGATCCGGTGTATCGTTTGCACCACGATCCTCGTGTATTTATCTCGAGAAATTGTCACAAGTGTGCTCTTTACGATGATTTCGATCATTCCTCTCTCTCTCTCTCTCTCTCTCTCTCTCTCTCTCTCGAACGAGCGATCGAATATCTCCCTCCTTGTAATTCGTCCATTCGCATCTAGTTACTTCGCAATGTCGTGCGAGATTTCCCGGGAATCTTTTCGCCGTAGCTTTCCACACGAAGCGTTGATTTTTTTTCTTCATCAGAGAACCAGAAACCGCGATTGACCGCGCCGGGCGGTTCGTGTCACCACGATAACCGGCAGTTAAACCCGCAAAAGATAACTCGTTAGATGATAACACGACGCTCAATGCCGCACGTGCCGCTAGTCACGTCAAAGCATTCTCAGCGACAAAGAGTACGCAATTTCTATTAGCGTCTCGCCGGCATTACGTACAGCAACGCCGAAGATTATCTCCTCGGGATCGAGGCACGACGGAAAAAGCGCTCAAGGCT